TGTCTTGGGGGGGGGTGCCGCGGGTGGTGGCGCGTAGAGGTTTCGCGCTTCGCGCCGGCGCCCCCCCCGCTCCCCTTTGCCCCCCCCCCCCCCCCGCGTCTCTATTCAACTGATCCGCTCATTTATTGCAAAGTTCAGGATCCACTTGTGATATAGACGACCAATTTTCTCCCGTGTCGATATATTTGCAGTGGTGAGCCCTGCCAGTCTAGGGCCCAGTGAATCGACTTTCAATATCGATCAACGTTACTTGTGCATAAGATACGCACAAAAAGAAAAATCTTACCATTTAAATGGATAGTATTTATAATCGATCTACGAACACGATGCATATATAATTGAATAGACGATTTTCTATAAAAATTCGAACAATAGTGTTCAACTTAAAAATACAAAAAGAACTTGCTGTTTGATAATGGATAAGGTTCCATTGAGTAGATGGTACTTTTCGACTTCAGATATGTCATTCAATGCTTCTAAAAGACAATAGTTCGATATTGTAGTCATGAATAAACTTTTACCATTCCATTTTCGCATATTAAAGTGGGCAAGTGCTCTAATAGCATAATATTTTGTTTTTTTAATCTTGTTCGTTACATCCATTCACTAATTGATTCAAAATCTAAAAAAAAAATAAGATATTTTTAATGTAAGAAAAATAAAAAGTCGTTACCTCTACTTTTTCCTCGTTGCTATATTCCTTCTTTTCGAATATGTCTTTGCACTGCAGTGGTGATTTATTGGTGACCATAGCACGCGTGACGATGTTAAATAAAAACAGATATACATATACATGTATATTCCTTCCTTATATAGTGTATAGTTTTACAAAACAAAGCATAGAAAAAAAGCTCCAATTGACTACATAATGAGCTTACTGGTGGCGACATCTGCTTCTCATGTTCGCATCAGAAAAAAGACTGATAGAAATAGTGTACATCCAGTATTCTACGATACTACGTATTTTCGATTTTTCTGCCATGAGTTTCACAAACGCAATGTCACTACAATGGCTATGAAAGAATTTTCCTATTAACATCAAACATAAGGATCAACTAGTGATGCTCGATTGGCTCTTATCATTATTAGACAGCTTCGTAGTTATGTGAAGAAGTAAAAAATATTAGTTATTAGCTCATTTTGTGAAGTAAAATAAATTCATCAGTAGAAAAAATTAAAAAATTTCCATACACATCAAAATAACTTTATCAAAAAGAATCTTGCAAATTTTAAAACAGATTTTTTTCTATATCGATGTTATAAAAAAAGATAATCTCATCTTATTCATCTCGTAATAATCGTTATTATGATTCTATGCATCAATCACGTGGGAATAATTCTCGATCACAATCGGGCAATCCTGTTGAGGACGAGAACATGGAAGAAATGTCTGAGGATTTACGAAAAATCTGTGATGATGATGATGATTCAAAATGTGCACGTTTGTTAAAAAAGCTATTCGTGATAAACGATCATTTGATTTACGTATTCAACGTATTCAAGAATTTCAAGCCTATCTTGAAAACTCCGATAGTAACAAAGTACTTAGAATATTTTTTTTTGAATCTAAATGTTTTCTTTGGCACTCTATTATTCAGTTTGTTATGAAATTAGCTGAACAGCACTCAACGTACTTTTCGAACAGTTTCATGAAAGGTTTGCTTAGCATTAACAAATATTTTTACATTGAACATATCTTTATTTTCTAAAGATCTCATGAAACTATTCGATCTGAACTTGCTCATTGTATTGGATTAATAGGCTATGTTATGTTAAATGAAGGCGAACCAAAGTGGAATACTATCATAATGTTTTCACTATATTTTTTTCTCTTTTTTGAAAGATTTGCTGAATGAATTTTTGAATGTTTAAATGAAGTACGAAAGAATGATGTTCAAAGACAATTACTTATCAATGCATTTCGTCATCGTATTCAAAATGAACATGAAACGTTATGTTTAACTAATCATATTCAACAGATAAGGGAATAATTAAAGAAAATTCTTGAATCAGTTGATCATGCACCATTAATGATTGCTATTACGGATACAATTATTGATATTTCAAGAATCTATCCTCAAATATTTCAAGACATTTTTGTTGTATGTAAATTGTAAAAGAAATAGAGTTATTTAGAAATTAATTTTGTTTTGAAGGATATTGTCGATATTGTTATCGGTTGGTATATAGAGCCATTACCAACTGATCGTATTCTTGAATATACATCGCAAGCATTACATAAATTTCGTTCATTTTGAGTTGAACAAATCGAAGCAACAACATTAACTTTATTAGATAATTTTATTGAAGATGCTGATAATTATGCTCAAGTAAATAAATGCAAAACAAAACGAACGAACGTTTTTAGATAAATAGAAATTAATATTTTCTTTCCTTTTCTTTTTCCAGCAATTCGAACTGCATGGTGACGATGATGATGATATTGGTGCATTTACAGACAAAATTACTGCTGTATATAGGTAAATATTGAGAAAAGAAAAATATACATTGAATCATAGAGCGTTTCTCGGAAAGAGATCTCTTAGTCACAAGTGTTCAGTATAATTCTTGTGAGCTTAATATGAAAGATTGGAATATGCCTAAAAGAAGTTGTTCAAAAAACGAGTTACAATAGTTTTTTCATTTGAGAAAAGAATCGTAAGACATATCTTCTAGGTTTGTTTTGTTAATAAAAATGAAAAATAAAACGATTTCAGATGATATTGCTAATTCTTATCCGTGAAACATTTTTCTATGTGTAGCATAATCAATTTAATTTTATGTATTTTCCTTTCAGAGCTTTTACTACTGTTCTTCGTGAACTTTCCGATCATTTTTCTTCAACACCTAATTTACTACCCATCGATCATGTTGATAATTGGTTACAAA